CCCCTCTCCCTCCAAAGCCTCCTCCTCCTCCTCCTCCTCCTCCTCCTACTCCTACTACTACTACTACTACTACTACTACTACTACTACTACTACTACTACTACTACTACTACTACTACTACTACTACTACTACTACTACTACTACTACTACTACTACTACTACTACTACTACTACTACTACTACTACTACTACTACTACTACTACTACTACTACTACTACTACTACTACTACTACTACTACTACTACTACTACTACTACTAACTACTACTACTACTACTACTAACTGCTACTACTGCTACTGCTACTTACTACTGCTACTGCTACTGCTACTACTACTACTACTACTACTACACTACTACTACTACTACTACTACTGCTACTACTACGACTACTACTACTACTACTCTACTACTACTACTACTACTAACTACTACTACATTACCACTACCACTACCACTACCACTACCACTACCAACCACCACTACCACTACCACTACCACTACTACCACTACCACTACCACTACCACTACCACTACCACTACCACTACTACCACTACCACTACCACTACCACTACTACGACTACTACTACTACTACTACTACCACTCTACTACTACAACCACTACTACTACTACTACTACTACTACTACTACTACTACTACTACTACTACTACTACTACTACTACTACTACGACTACGACTACTACGACTACTACGACTACTACTACTACTACTACTACTACTACTACTACTACTACTACTACTACTACTACTACTACTACTACTACTACTACTACTACTACTACTACTACTACTACTACTACTACTACTACTACTACTACTAACTACTACTACTACTACTACTACTACTACTACTACTAACAACTACTACTACTACTACTACTACTACTACTACTACTACTGCTTCTGCTACTACTACTACTACTACTACTACTACTACGACTACTACTACTACGCTTCTGCTACTACTACTACTACTACTACTACGACTACTACGACTACTACGACTACTACGACTACTACTACTACTACTACTACTACTACTACTACTACTACTACTCCTGCTACTACTACTACTACTACTACTGCTCCTCCTCCTCCTCCTCCTCGTCCTCCTCCTCCGCATCATCCTCGTCATCATCATCATCATCATCATCAGCAGCAGCAGCAGCATCATTATCACAATCATCAACACCACCACCATCGCCATAACCATAGTCAGCATTAGCATCGTTTTCCATCATCATCAGCATCACCATCATCATCACCATCATCTTCATAATCATCATCGTCATAATCATCATCGTCACCATCACCGTCATCATCACTATCATCGTCATCATCATCATCACCACCACCATCATCATGATCATCATCATCATCATCACCATCACCACTGTCATCATCAGCATCAGCACCAGCATCAGCATCATCAATCGTCATCATCAAAATCGCAATCATCGGCATCGTCATCGTCATCGTCTTCATCATCATTACCATCATCATAATCAGCATCAGCATCAGCATCTGCATCATCATCAGCATCATCATCTCAATCTGAATCAGCATCGTCATCATAACCATCATCACCACCATCACAATCATCGACATCGTCATTGTCACCGTCATCGGCACCACCATCATCACCATCACCATCATCGTCGCTGTCGTCACCATCAGCATCAGCATCAACATCAATATCAACATCGTCATGATAATGATCATGATCATGATGATCATGATGATCATCATCATCATCATCATCAGCATCATCATCATCATCATCATCATCATCATCATCATCATCATCATCATCATCATCATCATCATCATCATTCCCTTCCGCCCTCCCTCCCTCCATCCCTCCTTCCCTTCCCTCATGCTCCTACGCACTATGGTTGCTCATTCCTCCTCCCTTGCTCCCTCTTCCCTCTTCCTAATCCCATTGCCATCTCTCTCTCTCTGTCTCTCTCTCTCTCTGTCTCTCTCTCTCTCTCATTTGTCCCGACAGCCTCCTCTGCCGCCTATATCCTGCTGCTGCTGCTGCTGCTGCTGCTCCACCTCCTGCTCATCGTTCTCGTTTTTCCTTCCCCTCCTTGTCCTCCACCTCCTCATGCTCATCCTCCTTTTCCTCCTCTTCCTCCTCCCGTCTTCTCCGTGCCTCCCTCTTAACCAGCCGAGCTCCGCTGCAAACCCATCCCGTGACTCCTCCTGGGCACCCTGCTGAAACTTCGACTCTCGAGTTCTGGGATGTTTGCAGGCCTCCAGACCATCCAGGAAGTGAGACGGACGCCTCGTGTGCCATGTCCCAATCCTTGTCGTGATGCAAAGAAAAACAACTCAGATTAACTAAAAGAAAAAGGTTAGACGGACAATTGAAACAGGATGAGCGGAGGAAACTATGGAGTCTCTGCCTGGTCGCGTAGCGAGATGGACATGAAAGTCCGTCTGCACCTACTGCGGTGCTGTGACTCGCTTACCTCTCTATGACAGTCTCAGCCTGGCTGAGCACCTTTGGCCAGAGCCCCACAGCGATGCGTCTAAAATACTCGCGCTCTGTGACTGTGGGGGTGTCACATGCGACGACCCGCTTCCCGATCTGCTGAGAGGCACATGCCCGGCACGCGGCGCAAAACCAAACTTTCAGCCCAGCGTGGAACCTTGTTTGATGTGCTTTGTGAACCCATCCTCCCGCTGCGTGGACCTGCTTACTCACGGGGGGACTCATACGGGTGCCATGCTCATTCTCAACGTTCGAACACCCACTACGCAAGCATTCAGTAGGCATGGCTACCGTTGAGGAGCCACCACGAGCCTGTCACTTTCGACCACTGTCGTCGAGTTGGTGGGCGGAGGCGGAAGCTGCACACAAGGGAAAGGGCGGGGGCTCGGGCGGGTCTCTTGACGACCCGTCGAAGCCTAGCTCCAAACCGGCATCTTTGAATTTAAAACCAGGGCGCTCAAACTCCAAGGGCCTCCATGGTGGACCTGAGGAGCCTCATCCTGTTTTCAATTATATTTATATATAGATGTATGTTAAACAAATTCGTGCCCTACACCCTGAATGTTTTGTCCCGCTGCTTTGCTCGCAAAGTGCTCCGCGGCCGCGAGAGCGGCGAATTCATCTGCAGCCGCGCTCCCGCACACGAAGGCACGATGAGAACGGCCATGCAAAATAGCATGCGCTGCGCCTGCGAAGGTGCATGTGCATGTGCCTGCGAAGGTGGCGCGCGTGTGTGACTGTGGTGTGTGTAGGGTGTAGGGTGTAGTGTCTAGTGTGTAGTGTGTAGTGTGTAGTGTGTAGTGTGTAGTGTGTAGTGTGCAGTGTGTAGTGTGTAGTGTGTAGTGTGTGTGTGTGTGTGTGCGTGCGTGCGTGCGTGCGTGCGTGCGTGCGTGCGTGCGTGCGTGCGTGCGTGTGTGTGTCATGCGTGTGTGTGTGTGTGTGTGTGTGTGTTATGCGTGTGTGTGTGTGTTATGCGTGTGTGTGTGTGTGTGTGCGTGCGTGCGTGCGTGCGTGCGTGCGTGCGTGCGTGCGTGGGTGTGTGTGTGTGTGCGTGTGCGCGCGTGTGCGCGTAATGTCTGCGAGAGAGTGCGTGCGTGTGTGTCGCGGAAGTGTCGCCGCCCAGTCGGGGGGGCACCCCAAGCGACCCAGATCGGCGGCACTGGCCGAAGGCCACTACAATAGCATGCGCTGTCTGGTGCGATCTGGTCCACAGGACCACGCACGGATCCCTCCGAGCTTCCAGGCGAAGGCCGGCCTCGTGCCACATGTCAGCGTCTGACCCCTCGGGTCGCCAAGGGTGCCCGTTGTAACGAGTGCGGCAGATGCCTTCGCAGTCGGTGACGTAGATGGTTCCTACAGAGACCGTCAACGCCAGAAAGAGCAAAGGGGGTCCAGGGACGCATCAATAAACAGACACGAATCCCAGGATTCTCCATACATGTTCTGTATTTTTTCTGGGTGGTCGCCTTCCCCCCACCTCCCATACTTTTGCCCATATTCTCCTGAGTGTCGACGACTGATGGTGTCTGCGTGTCTTCTCCCCTCCCGGTGGAGGGCAGCCAACTCGCCCCGCACGACAGTTGTTTGGCGCCCGCCCTGGGAGGAGGCCGCCAGACGGCGCCGCGCAGCGTCACCTCCCGGAGGCCATGGAAGCTCGAGGAGATGGCCACGCCCACACGCCGCAGGCGAGGGTGGCCGGTGTCCCCTCCTCCGCTCGCACCGCCGAGCGTGCGTGTCGGCGGTGGAGGAACCTCCCTTTGAACCTCCCTTTAGTGGAACGGCCCAGGACCGAAACCGACGGACCGGGACCCGCAGAAACAACGACGGCCGCGATGCCCTCTCGCGAACCGAGAACGGCCAATTCGCTAATCGACGCGTCAGGGTAGGAGGTCTATCAACCTCCGAATATGTATGTAACCCCTCCGCTGCCGTGCCCTAGGCACCCGTCATAGACTTTCTCGAGCCAAGCGCGGTCCAGAAAGGCGTGGCACAGGGTGGTGGGGAAGTGGTCCGGACCTCTGGGGCCCAGGCATCGGCAAAAATTGGAGCGGCGGAATGTCTGGGGAGAAGAGGCGAAGAGGGAGGGCAAGAGGGGAGAGGGACGAAGGGAAGAGGAGGAAGAGGAGGCGCAAGAGGGGAGCACGAGGAGCACGAGGAGAAGAGGCAGCGCAAGAGGTGATGGGGGAACAGGAGCAAGAGGAGACGAGGAAGAGCACGAGGCGTGGGGGACGAGGAGCAAGAGGGGAAGAGGAAGAGCACGAGGGGAGGAGGACTGGGAGCAGGAGGAGCAGAGGAAGAGGAAGAGCAAGCGGGGAGGGGGGCGAGGAGCACGAGGCGAAGGGGAAGAGCACGAGGGGAGGAAGGCGAGGAGAAGGGGGGGAGCGCAAGAGGAGCAGGAGCAGCGGGCGGCAGAGCCCCCACCCCGTGCACGTACCCCCCCCCCCCGCGGCGCCGAGGCCGTGGAGCTGGCCGGCGCCGCGGCGCCGGCGGCACCGCCGAGCGTCAGCTTCGCATCTGCATGGGGGGGGAGGGGGGGAGCTCCTCCTCCGTCCAGACAGTTGCCAGGGGTGAACTTTTCAGTTTTCTCACAGCACTCACTGGTGCTGATGGAGTGGTGATTTATACCACTGACAACGCCAGCGTCTGCTCTGGTTGGTTTTGTGGCCGAGCTTTCGCCCCAGAGGGGGAGAACGCGGATTTGTGGCGCCAGGTAGGGCAAGTCCTCAAGAGAAAGCCCAATCTCAGTTGCACGGTCCTGTTCGTTCACTCCCACCAAGAGGCTCGAGATGTCCTCCAGGGTAGAGCTCCTTTGTATTTGACGGTTGGGAATGCGGCAGCCGATAAGTTGGCATCCGAAGCCGCTCGTGCTGTCAGAGTCCCAGCGTCTATCAGGAGTAGGGTTCTCACGAATGAGAAGATGGCTTTCGCCGTCCGTATGCGAATTCTGCTAGCCACTCTGGAAACTTTGAAAGCTGAGCAGGCCTTAGCGGCCACGGAGCCCCGCGGGTCCCGTGTCAGGAATCCTGGGCCCAGGCCACCCGCGCCTGTTGTTTGCAAAGAATTTTCCACCTTGCACACGCTGTCTGAAAATGGGCTGTCTTGTTTGAAGTGTAGGAGCTCGACGACCAAAGCTAGGCGAAAGGTTTGGTTGGATACCCCATGCTTCGACCTGAGGGCTATCGATGGCGTTGTTTTCAGGCCGCCCCCCCGTTGCAGGGTGCACATCTGTGGGGGGTGGGCTGATGAGACTCACACTTTACAGTTCCACGCTGGGCTGGGGATCTGGTTCTGTAGCACCTGCGGAAGCTTTGCGGCCCAGCAGTTGGCCCAGCTTGGGAAGAGGTGTGTTGGCAGACCAGAGGGTAATCGTAGAGATTATTTAAAGAATATTGAACGGGGGATCTGGCCTAAAGCTTACAGCAAAGCTGATCAGGCCAGAAGAGCGGCTCGTTCTATTTAAGATAACACGTAACCGACACAGTCGCAATATCCGTAACTCCGTAACTCCTCCTCCTCCTCCTCCTCCTCCTCCTCCTCCTCCTCCTCCTCCTCCCCCTTCCTCCTCCTCCTCCTCCTCCTCCTCCTCCTCCTCCTCCTCCTCCTCCTGGGCTCAGAAGCACCTGGATCGTAGCGTTTTCCTCCTTCTCCTCCTCCTCCTCTTCCTCCTCCTCCTTAGTAGTATCGACGTTGCTCGGACACAAAACACTTAGCTTGTAGCAGTTTTCCTCCTCCTCCTTCCCCTCCTCCTCCTCCTCCTCCTCCTCCTCCTCCTCCTCCTGCTCGTTGCACAGACATTGGCAGGATGGCCGTTGCCTCTATGGAAACGCTCGCGATAAAAAAGAGGGGTAGGAGGATCGGAACGCAACACACACGATCGACCTGGGACCGTTGTGCCGATGCCGCAGGTGCAAAACAATACCACCTGCTGCTCCCTCTCTCCTCCTCCAGCTCCTCCTATTCCTTCGAGGCTAATCGAGGAAGGAGAGGAGGAGAGGGAGGAGGGGGATGCCAGCGCGGCCGCGGTTTCGCTCGGCATTTCACGACGCGGGCGCTTCCAAAAGACAGGCGGAGGCGGTAACTCGCCGCAAGCGCCTCCGATTGTACGCTACTCCGTTTGCCACACGGAAAAGGAAAGGGCCGATAACAAACAAGTAGTAATATATTCTACTTGTCATGTGCCAACGCAAGGGGCGGGGATGAAACAAATCTATTCCGCTCAACCGGGCACATGGAAACGTGGAGGGGAGAACACACACAGTTCTATTCTGCTCGTCACAAGGCAAAGCAGGGGGAAGCGACCATTATGACTCGTCATGCGGCAGCGCGTGGGGACAAGGACAAGTGCTATGCTGCTCTACTCGTCGCACGGCAAAGCAGGGGGCGGAAAACATGACATTCTACTCTGCTCGTCGCACGACAATGCAAGGGGCGGCGGGAGGGAGATAACGACTCCGCTGTGCTCGTCGCACGTCAGCGCAGGCGTCGTCGTCGTCGTCGTCGTCGTCGTGGTGGTGGTCGTCGCCGTCGCCGTCGCCGTCGCCGCCGCCGCCGCCGCCGCCGCCGTCGCCGTCGTCGTCGCCGTCGCCGTCGCCGTCCAACACCGCCGCCTCCTGCGCGCTCGGCGCGGGGCGGGGAGCGCCTGGCGGCAGCAGCCCTGCGCGGGAGCCCTGCGGCGCGGCGCGGCGGAGGGGGGGCATCGCGCGCGGCGGCCTCGCTGCGCGCCCTCCGCCTCGCCCTCCGCCGCCGCCGCCGGCGGCCGCGCGGCGGAGGCGTGCGGCGATCGGCTGCCCCGGGCTCCGTGGCCCTCGGCGGCGCCGCGGCGGCTGCGGCAGCGGCGGGGCGCCGCGACGGGCCGGCCGTGGCCGCGGCAGGCCGCCCGGAGCAGGCTGGCGGAGGCGAGGCCGCCTCGGGGCCAGGGCAGCTCGCCAGCCTCGGGCCGCGACGCGCGAAGCGCGGTGATCTGCGCGCCCCCTTGTGGTGGCCTGGTGTGCCCCTTGTCAGCGTTCTCTTATGCGGCGTCGCGACCTTGGGCGGAAGGGGGGGGGGTCTGGCCCTGGACCTCTGCTTCGTGCGACTGCTTGCAGCGGTGCGTCCTACCATGGAAGCGACCCCGCCTGCTCGGAAAAAGGCGCCTGAAACAGGCAAGATCTGCCCCATGGGGGGCGAGGGCTGGCACCGATCGACAAGACACGGACAACAAGGATTAGGAAAACGATCACCTTCCTCCTGGGGGGCGATGGGGGGGGGGCGCGGGGCCGCGCCGCTCGGCAGAACAAGGAACAAGAGAACGATCACCTTCCTCCTCCTCCTCGACCTGGAGAAAAGAGGAGGAGGAGGAGGAGGAGGAGGAGGAGGAGGAGGAGGAGGGGAGGAGGAGGAGGAGGAGGAGGAGGAGAGGAGGAGGAGGAGGGGGAGGGGGAGGAGGAGAAGGAGGAGGAGGAGGAGGAGGAGGAGGAGGGGAGGAGGAGGAGGTGAGGGAGGAGGAGGAGGAGGAGGAGGAGGGGAGGAGGAGGAGGGGGAGAAGACCAGGAGAGGAGACGACGACGACGAACACCAGGGCGAGAAGAGAAAATCGCGGGGCGCGAGGGCGTAACCGCAGGTGCCCCCCTGTTCCGCCGGCGGCCTTCTCCAGGAGACACTCGCGGTCGAAGCAAGTGCTGGTGTCGAGGCCTGGGGGTGCGCGCGCGAGGAGGAGAGCGGCAGAGGGGGGAAGATGAGAGAAAAGGGAATAGGAGGAGGAAAAGGAGGAGGGAGAGGACGAAAAAGAAGAGGAGCAGCAACAGCAACAGTAGGAGACGGAGGGGCATGAAGAAAATATGGCGGAGTGAAAAGGGCAGGATGCAAAGGATAGAGGAGGAAGAAAAGGAAGAAGAGAAGGAGGGCTGGGATGGGGGGAGGATCACGGGGCAGAACGGACGAGGAGAAGGCGGTTGATGACGATGACGATGAGGATAACGATGACGATGACAACGGCGACGACGATGATGATGCTGATAGTGATGGTGATGATGATGCTGTTGGTAATGACGATGATTGGTGTTGATGGTGATGGCGATGGTGGTGATGATGGTTAGGACTATGATAGTGCTGCTGCTGCTGATGATGGTGATGGTGATGGTAATGACGATGATTGGTGGTGATAGTGATGGCGATGGTGGTGATGATGATTAGGACTATAATAGTGCTGCTGATGATGCTGCTGTTGATCATGATGACGCTGATGATGATGATGACGATGATGATGGTCAGTAGCAGTGACGATGGTGATGATGATGATGGATGGTGATAGTGCTGATGATGCTGATTATGATGAGGATGCTGATGCTGATGCTGCTGCTGCTGATGATTTATGTTGAAATGATGCTGATGATGCTGCTGATGTTGATGATGATGATGATGATGATGATGGTGACAATGATGGTAATGACGATGATTGGTGATGATGGTGATGGCGATGACGGTGATGATGATTAAAACTATGACAGTGCTGATGATGCTGCTGATGATGATTATGATGATGAGGATGAGGATGATGATGATGATGATGATGATGATGATGATGATGATGATGATGATGATGATGATACTGATGATGATGATGATGATGATGATGATGATGATGATGATGATGATGATGATGATGATGACGACGACAGGGTATGATAACAAAATTCGCCGGCCCAACGGGCCAGAGGCGTGCTAAGATCTCCGGTGACTGCTTTACAAGATTCTTCTTCGCGCGCGCGGGGCGGCCCCTGGGGGTCTCCCCACGAAAAGTACCCCGGCAGGGTCCCGGGAGACTCCAGGGAGGGTCCCGGGAGGTTCCCGTCAGAGATGTTCTCCCTCCTGGGTGCCGCCCTCGAGGTCCTCCAGAGAGCCTCCAGACGCCCCAAAACGCCCCCAAGATGCTACAAGAGGGCTCCGAGATGCCACAAGATCGCTCCAAGACGCTCCATATGGCCCCCAAACGCCCCAGGAGGCCTCCAAGAGCACTCCCAAGAGGGCCCCAATAGGCAAAATTCATTGCTTTTCCTTAGGTTTTGGTGAGATTTTGGTATTCCCACCCTTTCCGCTTTCCAACGCCCGACGACGGCCCAAGAGGCCCCCAAGACCGCTTCAAGAGTGCCCAAGAGCCCACAAGGGCCTTACGACGAGCCAAGATGGCCCCAAAACGGCCCCAGAGGGCCCCAAGACGGCCCAAGAGGGCCCCAAGAACGCCCCAAGAGCGGCCCCAGGGGGGGAACACGACACAACATGTCCAGCCCTCGGCCCTAAGAAGCCCCCAGGAGGACCCCAGAGGCCCCTGAGAGGTCCCAAGAGGCCCCAAGAGGCCCCCACGAGGCCCTCAGGAGGCCCCCAAGAGTCCCCCAAGCGGCCCCAGGAGGCCCCCCAAATGCCCCCCCGAGCGCCCCAGGAGTCCCCCAAGCGGCCCCAGGAACCCCCAAAGCGCCGCATTGACACCAAGCCCTCGGGCAAACGGCAGACATGAGACTGTATGGGCCGGCGGAATGAGCGAAGCGATTAAATAATAACCAGGACGAGACAAAATGGTAGGAAGGCACGAATAACCCAGGAGAAACACAATATGTTGAGGGGGAAGGGCGAAGATAGCGAGGGGATGGACAAGGGAGGGGGAGAGGGCGGATGGAAGGAAACCGAAACGGATGAATGTGCAAAGGGGGGGAAGGGGGGCATGAATGAGGCGGGAACGGAAGGAAGGAAGAGAAGTCACAGGGCGGTCCCTCGGCATCCTTGGTCGCCGCGGTGGCTGAAAAGGACATGGAAAAAGGGGAGAGCGGGAGGATGGGGAGGCAGAGGAAGATCGCTGGCTTGGCAAATTTCGCACGGCGCTGGCAAAGTGTGTGCCAACCTCTGGGTTTTGCCCGAAAGCTCCGAAGAAGGGAGAAGGGAGAGGGGCTGAATGATGAACGTGGTCGACCACGTTCATCCTGTTCAGCCTCTCCACTGCTCGCGCAATCATCCCACTCACCCACCCGCAACTTGCCTTGCAAAACCAATGCGGCGGCGATTGTGGTAACTGCGTGGCGCTGGCTGGCACCTCGCTGCGGTCGCCCTAGCGCGCGCAGGCTCGCGCGCAGAGCGGCACTACAGTGCGAGGTCGTGACTCGGGCAGGCGCGGTATCTTTGCGACGTCGACACTGGCAAGCACGATGACGATGGTAGTGAAGCTGGCGAGACGACGACGACGACGATGACAACGAATACGACGACGACGACGACGGCGACGACGATGACGACGACGACGACGACGACGACGGCAACGACGGCGACGACGGCAACGACGGCGACGATGACGACGAGAACGAGAACGACGACGAGACTGCGAGCAAATCCACAAGAACGGGGGGGGAGAGGGGGGGTGCTTCCGAAGCCCCTCCCCTTGTCAAGGTCAGCCTGGGCTTACCCCAACCCCGAAAGGGGGGGAGGGGGGAGGCAGCCTTGGAAGCTCCCCCTCCCTCGGCCAGCCACCCCCTGCTTCGCAAAAAGAGGGGGGGGGAGGCAGGGAGCTTCTGAAACCCCTTCTCCCCCGCACTTCTTCGGCCCCATTTTCCCCAGGGGGGGTAGCTTCGGAAGTCCCACCCCTTGTGGCAGGAGGGAGGGGTAGCTTGAAACTTGGACCCCCTATTTGTTCTTCGTATCTTCCGCGTATATATATATATGTATGTATGTATGTATGTATGTATGTATGTATGTATGTATGTATGTATGTATGTATGTATGTATGTATGTATGTATGTATGTATGTATGCACATATGCGTTCGAAACATTACTTTGCACATATGCATATGAATATCATATGCACACATTTCTGTGCTCACAACTATATGTCCACTATACTTCTAGCCCCCAGCAATAACAAATATGAGTGAGCGGGCGGGAGTCGTCAGCAGTGTGCAGCTCTCGGAGACACATGTGCATCAACCTGCCGCACAACGAGCCACGCGCCAGCGCCGCTTTTCCAGGCAACATCAGCGGATCGCCCATGGAACTGGCGCGCCGGCGGGCGAATCGCGCGGCTGGTCGCGGGTGTGTCACGGGTGGGTCGCGGGCAGGTCGCGGGATAGGTCGCGGAGCAAGTCGCGGGAGCAAATCGCGGGTGGCTCGTGGATGGTTGCTAAACGGGTCGCGGGGCGTGGCGCTGGTGGGTCGCGGGGCCGGCCCAGCAAGGCTAGGAAGCCGCACCGCGGTGACCCGCAAGTCAGCCGAGCACCAAAGCACAGTGTAAGACCGCTCGGCCCCCGCACTCCATCATTGCGGGCGCCTGGGCCCAGAAAGCGGCGCTCGGGCGTCGAGGTCCCAAAAACGCATGCACTTCTTGCCTGCGGGATGGCGACGAGGACGGCGGCGGCGGCGATGGCAGCGGCGGCGACGACGACGACGACGAGCGACGAAGGCGACGAACGCCGAAGGAGACCTCGCATGACGTCGACGCAGGCGGCGCCGAGCGACGCCGAACGACGGCGGCGGCGACGACGACGGACGACGACCGACGACCACACACGACGACGCCGCCTCGGAGCCGCAGCTGGCGCTTGAGCTCCCCGGTGCGCAGCGAGAGCAGCGCGGAGCCCGCGGGGCCGCTCACCGCCAGCGGGGCGCCGACCACCTCGAGGGGCGGGCGAGGGCCGGGCGGCGCCGTGCCGGGCGGCGCCGCGGGCGGCGAGGCGGCCCGCCACGGACGCGCGAGGCGGGGGCTCAGCCTCGCGCCCGCGCGGGCGACGCGGGCGACGCGGGCCCGGGGTGGCCCCGTCTCTGCGCGCCGCTGGAGCTCCCCCCCTGCAGGGGGCCCTCTGAACCTCGGGCTCCCGGGAGTCTTTGCCGCCTCGCCCGCCGCCGGTCGGGCCAGTGCGCAGGCCACGAGCACGGGGCCGGAGCGCGGACGCTGCGCTGTGCAGAGCCGTGCGGCCGGGGTGCCCAACTCCGACTCTGGGCGGCGGGGGGGCGGCGCAGCCGCACCCCCGGGCTCTCGCAGGGCAGCTCTGCTCAGCGCAGGGAGGAGTAGGAAGATCCCCGCCCTGCTTCCCCGCTTTCGCGCCGAGGCCTGCCTCCCCGCTTTCGCGCCGAGGCCAGATCTCGTCATGCCTGCGGGCTGTAATAAAGCCTGCCTCCAAGGTCCCTCTTCAGAAGACCCCACAAGACTCCGACCAGCCCGTTTGGGCCAAGGTGATCTTGCGGGCTCTTTCTTCGTCTTCTGAGGCCCTCTTTCCTTCGGGGAGGGGTACCCTCCCCCTCCCCTCACTTTTTTTTGGAGCGGGGGGGCAGGCCGCGATGGTTTAGAGCGTCCAAGATGGCTCCAAGAGGGCCCCCGATGCTCGGGTATGGACTCCAAGATGGCTCAAGATAGCCGAGGATGGTTAAACAACAATTTCTGGCATGCCTCCAAGAGGCCCGACGACGGCCACCAGACTGTTCCAAGTGCTTTCGGAGCCTCCTCATGACCCCCGCCGAGAGGCCCAAATCCTCTAACAGTATAGGAGCATCAAATCTGATTGCCATCTCGCCATTTCGCGGCCGATGCGCTCTTGAGGCCTCAAGACGGCCCCAAGAGGGCCCAAAGTGTCGCCACGAGCGCCTGAGATCGGCCCAGGAACGTCCCAAGAGCGCCCCAAGAGACGATGCCGACCCCAAGAGGGCCCCAAGGGAGCCACAAGATGGCTCCAAGAGGCTCAAAAACAGCCCCAAGAGGACCCCAAAGATCCTCCAAAGAGTCCCAAGAGGGCTCCGGGAGGCGATTTTGAGGGCTCTGTCCTTACCCTCGTTGTCCTCCTCCTCCTCCTCCTCCGCCTTTTCTTCCTCCTTCATCGTCTTCCCTTTCCTTTTGCTAGTATTCCTCGTCGTCGTCGTGGTCGTGGTCGTGGTCGTCGTCGCCGTCCTCGTCGTCTTCCTCCTCCGCTCAATTTTCTTATGCAAAACTCCTCCCTATCGCACTCCGAGGCCAGTCAGAAGGGTGGTCTGGGCGTTTCGCCAGAATCGCAACTTCTGATCCTGAAGCTTTAAACATTGCACAGGTGGGCGGCAGACGCTTCCACATTTTAGCTCGCGTGTAAAGATATTGCATGAGCTTCGCGGATTGAGGCCGGCTCCTTTTCACCATGTGGCTCTTGCCTCAGTGCCGCGCGCGTGCGTCTGAAACAGATGCAAGAACTTCATGGATTTAGGGCGGTTGCTTTTCAAAATGTGGCACTCGCCTTAGCACCGCGCATATTGGTCTTACAAGTTTACAAAAAGCTTTACGGGGTCCCATGGCTAGCGTAGCAGAAATGATGCTTTCGAACGGTTCAGAATTGCCAGTGCGCACCAGTTACGTTGATATGAGGTAAAACAGCTACTGTCCTTGCGGGAAGTGCCTCAATCGAAGACAACCGCTTGACATTTTGCAAGCGTGCCAAAAACATCATTCCTGGGACTTCAGCGCCGCGACTCATAGTGATTGTTGCGCAATGTTGGGCGGTGCCAGAACATCATTTCTGGAACTTCCAAACCGTAAATGAACGTGACTGTTGCGTCCTGACAGCCCTGAATCATGCCGGAACATACTTCCTGGGACGTCCATCGTACGAATCCTTAAAACTGCTGCCCGCCCTGCCGACGTGTCCGACAGGTGCGGCAGGAGCAGTTACGCACAAGGAAAAACCTTAAGGACGAGAGGTTGGAGGCGGCAAAGGGGTCTGAGCTGGACGGGTCCCGAGGCATTTGGTCAAGACGACGGAACAAGAACAAGTCCGCTCAAAATCTGTCCCTGGACCCCTCCTCCTCGGATCCAGGCCCTCGAGCCTGGCCCCCCCGTCCTGCCGGCCAGAGCCAGTGCTGGGCCACCTCAGACCCCCCGCCGACTCCAGGCGAGGGGAAGATTCCACGCCCGTCCAGGGAGGCGTCAGGGAACGAGAGGGGAGAAAGGAGAAAAGGATGAGAAGAAGGGGTGGCGGGAGGGAGGGAGGGAGGGAGGGAGGAGGGGTAGAAGAAGGAGGAGGAGGGAGGAGGGAGGAGGAGGAGGGAGGAGGAGGAGGGAGGAGGGAGGAAGCCTGCCTCGGGGCCAGCTCGCTGGAGGAATTCCGGGCCCGCTGCCCGCGGACGCAACGGACGCTCGACCAGGCGGAGGCGGTGCTCTGGGCGGCCGACGTTCTTCAGGCGCCCTTCGCCTTAATAGGCTGCGCTGCAACTGACTACCTACCAGACCACCCCAACCCAACCCGAAGACCCGAATTTCGGGTTGGGGGGGGTAAGGGTTCCACATGTGTTTTTTCGATGTTTCCCGACACCCCCACTGGAAATCGAGGGTAAATCTGAGCCTTCGGGTTGGGTTGGAGTGGTTTGGTGGGTGGTAAGCAACCACAACCGAAGCCACAGGGGCACTGGGGCAAAGCTGCCTCCACGGCCAACAGAGAGAAACTGCGATGGGCGCACGACGAAGACCACCGCCTGCGCTTGCGGGAAAACGGCGGCACTGGAGCCAACAGCTGATTTTTCCCGCGCCAGCCGGACGACGCCCGCCAACCAGACTCGCAGCACTTCTGTGGCAACCTCAAGCGCCGGCTCGACGTCCCTGTCTGCCCGCCTGGATCCCGCTGTCAGCACGGCCGCCTGGATGGAAGCCTCTGCAACGAACCCATTAATCCGCACGGCTGGCACGCGGTCAAGTGCGAGGTGGGCACGTCGCGCAACAACCGCCACAATAATTACCGCGACTGGCACTCGGCGAAACACAATGAGCTCACAGGCTTCGCGGCGCCCACGGAGCAGGCCGTCCCAGCCTGGTATCGCCGCCACCCCCGCACGGGCGAGCTCCAACAAGCGGCGGTCGACCTCGCCACCAGCGACCCGGCCAATGGCCGCCAGATCTTCATCGACTGGAGCATCACCTGCGCACACTGAACCTACGCTCCACGCAGGGGTGCCCTGGCCGAGAAAGACGGGCTGGCGGCCGCCCAGGCGGTGGAACGCAAGCGAGATCGGTACCCTCCGCACGGAGGAGACACGGTCCCCCTAATCTTCGAGACGGGGGGCCAGCCCAGTGATGAAACAACCAGCTTTGCCCTCAGCTACGGGGCCGGCTTGGCCGACGGCGACCGCTCGGAGCTGCTGGGCGGCCTCTGGCGGCCGATCAGCAGGACCCTCCAAAGGGGGAGTGCTGAGATGCTGCTGAGCGCGCTCGGGCGCTAATCAGGCCACCTAGACGACGACCACAGCCACCAGCAGAACAACCCGGGCGACCACCGCCAGCACCACCACGACCACGACGACCGCCAGCACGACAACCACCACGACCACCGCCAACACCACGACCACCACCAGCGGCAACGCGACGATCACCACGACCACCGCCAGGATTGGGTCCGCGATCACAGCGCCAACAGCCACGGCCACGACCACAACCACGACCGCCCCGACCGCCCCCGCCCCCCGCCGTCCCCCTTCCTCCTTTACTCTCCTGGCCCCTGCTGGGCCGCCCCTGCTTCTGCGCACGCCTAGCGCGCAGCCCTCCCTCTTTCTCCTCCTCTTCCGCCTCCACCTCAAGCGACTTCAAGCGGGTCGCGTGTCGTCGCCGAAGGTGACGGCCCTGCGGGCAGACCCTCTATTCCCGCCTGCCCCTGGGGCCCCCTTCAGAGGTGCCACTCCCGCTTTCAGGGAGCCTGCGGGGCCGTGGCGACCAGGAGAGAGGGAGGAGGAGGAGGAGGAGGAGGAGGAGGAGGAGGAGGAGGAGAAGGAGGAGGAGGCAGGAGGAGGCAGGAGGAGGCAGGAGGAGGAGGCAGGAGGAGGAGGAGGAGGAGGACCAGTGCAAACCCCAGAGTCATCAACGATGTTGGCATAGACTCTCCCTCCAACCTCCCTCTTCATGGGCCCTGACAACGGTCCATTCCCACTGAGGGAGCTGCCTCCTTGAAGACAACCGCCTGAAGACCCTGATGAATGCCAACACACTATTCTCGGGACGCCAACGCCGCGGATCAACCTGACTGTTGCGTCTTGACTATCATGAACCGTGCCAGAACGCCAATCCTGGGACTTCAACACTACGAACCAACGTCAGCGTTGACCCTCATAATCCTGAATCTTCCCAACACATGATTTCTGGTGCGTTGACCATGGGAGCCCGTGAAACTTTATAAATATGTTGGAGGATGTGCGAGGCGCTCCGGCGAGAACCACATTTTGACAACGAGCCGCCCTCAATCCGTCAAACTCTTGCAATATTTAAAAAGACGAGGTGTGCGCGGCGCTAACGCGAGAATCACATTTTGAAAACCAGCCACCCGCAGTCCGTGAAATCTTGCAAATGCTTAAAACGAATGTGCGCGGCGCTAAGGCGAGAGCCATATGTTGGAAACCGCCTGCCCTCAATCCGTGAAACTCTTGGACATGTTTTAAACGAATGTGCGCGGCGCTAAGGCGAGAGCCACATGCTGAAAACGGCCCTCCCTCCATCTGTGAACCTGTTGTCCTATTTTATGCTTCAAGGTCATAAATGGTGAGGAAATCTCTGGCTAAACGCGCGGCCCGCCCGTTCGAGTGGCCTCGGGGTGCGACAGGGAGAAACGACTTATAAGGAAAATGCATGGAGGAGGAGAAGAAGGAGGAGGAGGAGGCGGAGGAGGGAGGAGGAGGAGG